ATTTTTTATCACAACTGCATCTAAAATCATAGTATCACAGAGTAACAACTATATTTTCAAACATGAGAATTCAAGACTACTCCAGAAGGAAGACAGGCGGTCCTTAAGAAAGAAGTATGAAATAAAAAAAGTTTACCAACCTGAAGATTCTGCATGTTCAGACATGTTCTCTCATCATCTTCAACACAGCTTCCTCCTGAGAAGGAACACTTCTCATAATGTTGTTTCATTCGGGCAACCAGGCCTTGCATTTCTTTGTTGAACTGTTTGCATTTTGCACGCATGCTTGTCTTACCCACAGGTAGAGGAACTTCATTAAAATATTCCCAGACTGGGTCTCTTTTACAGCCTGCTGCCATTATAGGCTTTCCCTTCTAGTCAGAGAATATGGAATATTCTGGAATATGTTGCTCAAACAGTTTCACTTTTGGTTCTACTGCCTGTCCCTCCCTTCTCAAATTTATCTCATGACTTCTTCTCCTTGTCCAGATCTATTCCGCCCCCAACAATTTTCTATTCATTGAATTTTTTGAAACTTTGCACTTTTAGAGAAAGTTAAGGGATTGACTGGGTGTACACAAACTTGCAGAAGGACAATAGGGTTGAGGTCTGTTATATAGAGGTGAGAAATATTATTTATTTATTTTAAAACATTTTTGCTGTTAACAAGCATGTTATCTCTGGAGACACAAATCCACAGTTTGAGAACTGCAAAACTAAGCATTTCTGATGGTATCTTCTAGACTGAGCACTGAGTCCCATTGGGTAGACAGAAAGATGAACCTAAATAATCTATACAGAAGCCCCTGCAACCCCATAAGACTGGGTCCCTATAATCCATGAACTATTGGAACTCATTTACAAAACTTTTCTTAAACATTACATGACTATATTGGCTCATACAATAGAATTATAATTTATAATCCCTATTCCATGATAAGATATCTTTGAGCTATAATGTATCTTAATTAAAACTATCTTTAGAGAGGTTTTTTCCTCAAAAAGCATTTTATCAAAAAAATCTGATTTAAGTAAAAAAAAACCTAAAAAAAATAAAATAAAAAAATCAGATTTATATCACTGATTTTTATCCACCCGGTTGATGGGCTACTTGGAGGTTGTGTGGGCATTTCCATAGTTGCCATTGTGATCTCTTTTATAGCTTTGTCACAGCTCCTTACCCTTCACTCTACACTGTTATTCAGAAAGTAACCCAGTTCTACCACCTGTCAAGGCAGGTGCTTGGATCTCTTTGCATTCTGGTTCAATTTTCCCAGCTGGGACAGTCCATGTTGCATGTCCCTAACAGCAATTAAAACTCCTTATGGTTCCAGGCAGATGTGCAAAGCATAACGAACACAGAAGGCTGGATTTGGTTGGGAAAGCTCTTTCAAAAGTAGCCTATGAATGGGAACTGTACATTCGTCAGTGCTCTCTGAACAGGTGGGTGACTTCTAGCTGAGATGAGCTCAGAACATAAAAAGTGTAGGAAGCTGACCAGACGGGTCAAATCTGTTGTGACCACTGGAGCGTGAGACAGCAGCAGAAGAACTATTTGCCATGGAAGTGAAACAAGTCCTTGCGGCACTACACAGATTTAACTCCCACTGGTGCAGACTTACTATGGATAGAAACAAGGGTAATTTCCTCAGTGAAGCATGGGTGGGAGGAAACGTGTGTGTGGATGCACAGCAGTTCCCTCTAATATAAGGGCAATTTCACCAGTGGAACTTTCATGTGTACATAGGGACTTGGATAATAATCTCTTTAGGGCAGGGATCATAATCTTATTGTTCATGTTTGTACAGTGCCTAGCACGAGACCACAGTCCTCAAGGGTCCTTTGGTTACTACAAAAAAAAAATCACATTCTTGTGCCATCCCTTCTCCCACTTGCCCCCCAAGATTACACTCATTTTCCACCCTCTACAAAATCTCTAACAGCCACTCATCTCATGCATCCCATCCAAAAAAATGTCATGTTCTCTGGCCTTCTTACCTCAAAAATCAAGCAAACGCAAACAGCACACACACAGACTGCCTCTACACATAAGGGACTTGTTACACAGACTCTTCTAAGAGTCCACATACACAGACACAAGCTCCTCTACACAAAGGAAAGAGCTCTTCCCCCCTCCCCCAGCCTTCTCTCTCCCAACTGTCCCCCAAGACTCTTCCCTTCCCAAGTTCTTTCTCTGATCTCCCTCCTTTCTTCTCCCTCTCTCTTACTACCCACTGCTTCCTTAGTGTAGGGGAGGAGAAAGTGCTTCAGTATCTAGCTTCCTCCTCCCATTACAGGATTTGATAGCTACAGTATAGAAGATCCAGCTTCTCCAATAGTGGAGGCAGGGGACAAAAAATGGTTTAGGACATTAAATGGAGATAAGCTGCAGGAGGACATGTTTTAGGGAAGTGGGGAGATGCCTTTTCATTTTTAACTCCTCTCATATTGGACAGAGTTGAAGGAAGGGGAAGAAGAAGAGGATATGGGACACAGAGACATCACCAGAGAGGAAGAAAGCTGAGTTCAAATGTATCTGTCTGTGAATGGGCTCAGCAAAGCTGGGGCATGCTCAGTGCAGACACACAGTCTCATTTTTTAAACAGCAAGCCTATCATGCTCTGCAGATATAATACAAACTGCAAATGGAGATGTTTTACAGTTTTATAACTTTTTCAGTTTTCAAAGGGACAGCAAGATGCAAGTCTCTGAACCTAGAACCATCCCCTCTGCTAAATGTTAAGTCCCTGCTGCAAACCATAGAGGTGTTAGAGCTTACACACACAAAACTGCATTAAAAGAATATGCAACCTTAATTCTGGCATTTCCCAACTTCTGAAAGCTTGACTTTGAAAGCTTAATGTTTGTATAAGAAGTTTTTTTTAAATGGGTAATTTCCTAAGTTTTTAAAAAGGTTAACAAAAAATAATTTCGTCATGTGATATATTGACACCCACTTGGCTCACCAGCAGGGTTAAAACCTTTAAATCCACAGCACAGACTGCTAGCATTTAAGCTAAGCAATAACTGACAGCAATAGTAGGTTGTCGTCCTCTACATGGATTGAGGCAGGAGGGGTACAAGACAGTGGGTTTCACAGCAATTTGCTGACAGCCAACGAATGGTGAGAGCCAGGAATCTTGGGTTCCAGTCCAGGTTTTGGAAGTGTGTGCACTCCGGTCACAGAGCCTTCTGTTCCTGTGCCTTCCAACTGTCCTTGTCTAGTCCTCTCTCTTCGTTCCAGCGCCAATCAGTCCTAGTCCTTTCCTCTGAGCTCCCGGTCTGAGCCCTAGTATCCTTGTAAAATCTGTTTCTTTCCCTTTTCACCAGGTCTCCAATCATCTCCTCCTCACTCCACACTGGCTCCCAGTCTCCCTTCCTGGGCTCATGTAATCTCAGTTCCCCCACTCAAGGAATTTTCAGAGAATTTCGCTGTTAAGTTCCAACAAGTTTATACTGAGCATGTGCAAAAAGATTCCCCCACCCCGGCCAAGACTTGCAACTTGGCCACATTTGGGTGAATTTTCTCCAGGATGGCAAAAGGCACAATCCTAACAATCACAGCAACTTCCCTGCCAAATTTCAAGTCCCTAACCTAACACATGCTAGCAATTTCTAAAGAATAGGTTGCTAACATATCTTTTATTAAAATATGCCAAAACATTTTCTCCTAGACTTGTTCTCTGAAGCAATTGAACTATTTTGGCTGAAATTTAAAACAAAACAAACAAAAAAAATCAGCTCAAGACTTTTCCCCCAAAATGGATCAAGTTTGGTAGAGTTATAAGTGAAAGTGAGGATCTTATAATGAGAAGTATCAGGCAATCTTAAAAGATGGTGCTACCAGCTTCACCTATAAAATTACCACTTTCTCTATAACAAAAAACAAGCAAGGACAATTTTAAAACATTTATGCAAATAAAAATAATACAAGTATAAGAAAAATCATAAATATAGTTGGATTTAGCTCACAACCATCCTCTCCACCCACATATTGAAGAGAAAAACACTGTAAACCATCCACTCTCCTTTATTGCTTTCTCGGGGGGTGGGGAGACAGCATGGGGAGCGGAGAAAAATACGCTTTTTGTCAATTATAGGAGACAGAACTTGAAATCCAACTACTTTCTCTCTTCTTCACTCAAACCATCACTAAAGTCACAGACAGATCATGAGCAAGAAAGGTCATGGAAGACTGTGACCTGTCTGTGACCTTTCCTAAAAATATTCATGACAAAATCAGAAGCTCAGCTGCAGGGTCCCCACACCACACCCAGCAGCCAGACATCTGTGGGGGCCCGCTCGGAGCTCCGGGAGCCCCACCGCCACATGGCGGGGTAACCCCACAGCTCCCAGCCACCGTGGGCTGAAGTCATGGAGGTCGCTGGAAGTCAGAGATTCCGTGATTTCTGAAACCTCTGTGAAAGAATCATATCCTTAACCATCACCCACACCAATGCCAACTGTATGGCTGCCAGCTCTTGCAGGAGCCTGGCACAAACAATCTGCTTTCTGAACATAATAGTCGCTACACTGGGTCAGACCAACTATTCATCTAACCCAGTTATCCTGTCTTCTGACAGTGGCCAGTCTCAGATGCTTCAGAATGAAGCCACCAGGCAATCGTCAAGTGTCCACTCCCAGTAAGAAGTTTAGGGACACCCTGAGCATGAGGTTGTGTCCCCAACCACCTTAGCTAATAGTCATTGATGGACCTGTCCTCCATGAACTTATCTAGGGTTTTTTTTGTTTTTAACCCTGTTATAGTCTTGGCCTTCACAACATCCTCTGGCAACAAGTCCCACAGATTGAGTGTGCGTTGTGGGGCAGGAGAACAAAGCTAAAAAACTACACCTTCCCCCCAACATATAAACCGCGATGAAAGGAGAAGTCAGCAGGGAAAGGATGCAAAAGAGAACGTGCAGAAGAAGCAGCAGCCAGCAGCCCCACCCCTACCCCGAAGCAGGATCTGGCGCCGAGAGCAGGTGTGTGGGACTGACCCAGACCACGTCGAGCCGAGCTCCAGAGAGCACAGGAAGAGCAGGAACTGGGAACAGCTCCGCAACGCCAGGGCGAGCCCGACACCCCATGAGCGCGGGAAGGGGCCACAGCGCCGGCGCCGCGCTTTAACCCCCCTCCCCGCCGCGCACGGGGGCTGGCGGGACCGCGCGCGCTCGAAGCTGTCGGGCCGAGTCCCGGAAGCCCGCGCGCCGCTTCTCCCCGAGCCGAACGCACTCCCCACGGGGCCAGCCCCGGGCAACGACCCCCCCGCCAGGAGCCACCCCCAGCCCCACCCCGGCTCTTACTATCCAGGTAGTGCTCCAGGTACATCCCCGCCGCCATCTTGGGCCTCAAACACAGACACTTCCGGCCAGGGCCGGAAACCGGGTAACTTCTGTCCCTCCGTCTGACCAGGCGTCACTTCCTCCCCCCTCGAAAGTACTTCCGGGTAGGGCACGGCCGCTTCCGCCTGCGGGAGGCGCCGCTTTGAATTGTTGCTCGTTCCTGCCCCAGCAACGGCTCGGCTGGCCCGCGTCGGGCCGGGGGCGCGGCTAGAGGCTCCGCCCACCCTGCCTCGGGCTGTGAGCTCAGCGCCCGTTGATGGGCGATAACGGTACAAGCGGAGGCAGGCACCCGTCGGAGTGACGCGGTCGCGGGGCAGACGGGCCGGGCCCGGCTCCGCGCCGCGGGCCCGGCGCAGCCGCGGACGGTTAGGCCCCGAGGCGAGTGGCCGGCGCGGATTGCGGATCGCGCAAGCGGGTCGCGGGGCGGAGGAGGGCGCGGGGCCGCTTGGCTGAGGCGCACAAGAGAGCAGTTTGTCTGTGCAAAAAGCCGGTGAGCGGCGTATAGTGGGTCCGGGAGGGTTCAGGTCCGAGGGGCCAAATCGGGGGCGAGACTAGGGCAGCAGCCCAGCGGGGAGCAAGGGCCCCGCTCCTCGGAGGAGCGTGGAAGTGTGTGTAAAGGCGTCTGAGGATCTGGGCCCCATCCCGGTGCGGGAAGGAGGATGGCTCCATGGACGCGTTCCTGGCCTGCTGCCGCAGCGTGCGGATGCTCTGCCGGGTCATTTCCAGGAGCAGCAACGCCTTGCCCAGTTAGCGGCGAGGAGGGTGCTGATGATGGGAAGGAAAAGGAAAATTCAGTCTAGACTGGCCTGGTATCCAGTCACAATCAGAAACAACTGTGTGCCTGTCGGGATTCATCTCGGGCCCTCCCAGGCTCCCCGAGGGGTAGTTTTCATCGGACTAAAGAGCCCTGGCAGCACTGGGGAAGAGAGTGGAAATATTTTCCTAGTACTTTCGGGGGGGAGCTCTCACAAAAGCGTTGGGGACCCTGACAGCACACAGGGAGAGGAAGAACACAGGACTGAGAGTAGAGGATGGGAATGCTTTCCTAGACTCGGTGGTGAACACTATTACCAGGGTGGGACAGGTGCAGGGGTGTTGTTCTCACCTTGTGACCTTGGCTCATGCCCTCCAGGAGCAGTGTATTTCGTAGGTTCAGACAGTGGATGATTCAGTCATTGTCTCTTAATCAGTGGTTTGATCTGAGGATGGATAGGGATTTAGTATTAATATAGGAAATGGATTGAATGGAGCCGTAACCTTGTGTGGGGGGAAAGAGAGAGGAGGGCAGACAATAAGATACCAACTGACATAGCCTAGCTATCAGTGCAGCCCAGCCAGACCCTGAGGCAGCCTAGGAGCTTTTGCTTACCTTTTTGCAGGCCACATGTTTTGGCTTGTTCAGATGTTCTTTACTACAGGCACAAGTTCTCTGCAGTCCCATCTTTGAGGTCTGTCTCTTAGATAGAAATTTGAAATTATTCCCCAATCATTCCTCTCTTCATAGTCACTTTACAGGAGACCCCAGTGCAGCTGTCATATCCCTTTACCAGCTCTCTACTAATTCCAAGGTGCCTCGGGAACTAAGTGTCGCTTCTGTCTCCCTTCACACCAATGACAGCCAATGAGCTTTTTGCTCGTCACAAGGCTGAAAAGGTGTCTCATGAGTTATAGTCCAGGAGACCAAGAGGGAAATATGAAATGTACAAAAGGGGATTTATATGTGGTCATCCAGCTGCTCTGTTAGGGATGGGAGATAAAGAGGCTCAGAAAAGTATAAAGGGGGTGACTACAGACAAAACAGGAGGCTATTGAGAGGGTAGCTACAACAACAGGTGGAGTATGTGTGTGGAAAATGGGATGCAATACCTTTTCTTCAAGGGTTTGAAATTCCAACTTTTTTATTGAAGTACAAGAATCATGCATCCTATTTAGGTCACAGGGGCTCCCAGGGAAACATTAACATATTCATGTCATCTGAACTGAGTGCGTTGTGGGAGATATTTAGTAAAAAGAATCAGAAAGTCAGTAGACTAAGCCCTTGAGGCTGCTCAAGTCCCCAAAAGTACTTGCCTCACAGAACTTAGTCTGCACAGTACGATGCCTGCTGCATTTCAGATTCAGTAAAATAAAGGCACCAAAAGGAAGAAAAATAAACTTTGGGGTAAGCAGGACATCTGAATATTGTGTGTGTAACTACTGCAATGGTGGGCAGAGGGGAAAGGCCTGGAGAGGTGGGTGACTGATTGAGAGACTGAATGGCTATAGACCAGTGATTCTCAAACTTTTTTTTCCATGGACCACTTGAAAATTGCTGCGGGTCTTGGTGGACAACTTAATGATCTTTCCAAATGTTGTTTGTACCATTAGCTAACTATTGTAAAACACTTTGGATAAAAGCGCTATATAATAAAAACATCATAATAATTGTTTTTTTATTCTACAAATAAAAGCACACAACTCATATTTTAATATCAGTAGTCTTACCTTTCTAATGCAATGAATGTTCCCTCTCCCGACACGGCAGCCCCTGAGCTGGGGTTAGGAAAGAGGGGGGGGAGCTGAGGCTGGGAAGGAGGGGGGTCTCTCCCCAGCAGCCACAGCCCTGGAGCTGGGGAAAGTCACCTCTTTCTCTGGGAACCACAGCCCTGCATGTCCCAAATTCCCCCCACCCCCTCTTCTCACCCTACTACCCCCTCTCACTGACCTCCTATCCCCCCACAAGGCTTACATGTGTGTTTCCTACAGGGTCTTCTACAGGTGTGTCTTCTACAGGGTCCAGGCACCTAATTAGTGGAGCCGCGGCTCCACTAATTTGAGGATGGCTCTTCATTCTGTCGTGTGCGGCCGCCCAGGTGCGCACCTTAGAGGGAACTATCCGCATACCACCTGAATGGAGCTTGCAAACCATTGGTGGTCATAGAATCATAGAATATCAGGGTTGGAAGGGACCTCAGGAGGTCATCTAGTCCAACCCCCTGCTCAAAGCAGGACCAATCCCCAACTAAATCAAAATGGTCCATGGATCACAGTTTGAGAACCTCTGATATAGACAGATAAATTAATATATAGAGTATAGATACATAAGACTGGGTCAGCCCAAGGGTTTATCTTGTTCTGTATCCAGCCTCTAATAGTAACCAGTGCCAGATGCTTCAATGACAGGTGCAGGAAACTCCCTAGTGAACAATTACGGAATAACCATCTCTCTTGTTTTGTATTCTATCTAACATAAGATCAGATGTCCAACCCTGTTTTGACTTATAGCGGTAGAAGTGTGAAATACCTGGCCACACTGATGTATGTGGTTTGCACAGCACACTCACATTCTGCACAATTTACGTTTTAGTTTTTTAAATACATTTCTTGTCCTCAGATAAAACATTGAAAATGTGACCTGAATGTAAACTGTTGTAGGGATGTCATCCTGAGGCAGCAGACAGCCTAAAACAAAAACTCAAATGTGTAAACTTCCTCACCTTCCATTAATATCAATGGTGTGTTAACATTAAAGCCTAATCATTATGTTTTAAATGTCAATTATTTCATTTCCAATAATTTTAGAAGATGAATGGGAATAAAACCCACTGGGAGGATACTGCATGGAAGGACATACAGAAATATGAAAGAAGAAAAGTCCCAGGGACAGAAGCAGGAGACAAAGAAAGAATGGAGGATGGTAGAATCATAGAATATCAGGGTTGGAAGGGACCCCAGAAGGTCATCTAGTCCAACCCCCTGCTCGAAGCAGGACCAATTCCCAGTTAAATCATCCCAGCCAGGGCTTTGTCAAGCCTGACCTTAAAAACCTCTAAGGAAGGAGATTCTACCACCTCCCTAGGTAACGCATTCCAGTGTTTCACCACCCTCTTAGTGAAAAAGTTTTTCCTAATATCCAATCTAAACCTCCCCCACTGCAACTTGAGACCATTACTCCTCGTTCTGTCATCTGCTACCATTGAGAACAGTCTAGAGCCATCCTCTTTGGAACCCCCTTTCAGGTAGTTGAAAGCAGCTATCAAATCCCCCCTCATTCTTCTCTTCTGCAGGCTAAACAATCCCAGCTCCCTCAGCCTCTCCTCATAACCCATGTGTTCCAGACCCCTAATCATTTTTGTTGCCCTTCGCTGGACTCTCTCCAATTTATCCAGAGCAAAGGTAGAGCAAAGGGAGCAGAATTTATTGTCTCATTCAGTATTACTCAGAGTAAGGCATTGAACAAATATAGATAATGAAAAGATTAGTTTCTACATAAACTTTCTACCCTGGTTTTCTGTGGACAGTTTTCACTGTTGTCAATGGGAGATCAGCTGTGGATAGAGGCAAATATTTTATCCTAAGTTTATATCCCAGCCCACACACCATAATTAAAAACAGAACTTGGCCCTGTCTACAGAATGAGGGAAACCCCTCTGCTAGGCTCTTGGTCTCCATGAACTCATGGGGCAGTAAAGTTTCCTTTTGTCAGTTTTAAATGTGCTGCCTTTCTATTTCACTGACTGTCCCTTGTTATTACATGAGTGAGTAAATATGGGTGCCCAATTTACCTTCACTAGGTTGCTCATTAGCCTTGGTACCTTTAGCCTGGTTGCCTCCATTAATCTCTTTGCTAAACTGAACAGTCCCAGTCTTTTCAGTCTCATGGAAGTTTCTTCTGGTCTTTTATCACTGAATTTCCTCTATTTCTTCCATATCATTCTTGAGATATGGTAGCCTGAATTAACAAAATGTTCCAGGTGAAGGTGTCCCATTCATTTATGTAA